AGTGAATATGGTGTTTTGAACTCCGGCAGGAGAGAACATAGATAGACATTATTAGCGAAGTGCCCTAAAATAAGTAGCTTTGCAGATGGAGACGTGGGTTCGATCAGTTGCCGAGGCAGTTAATTCCTCTTTTGTATTCAAATTCAATTGCCACTTCCCGTAAAGATTAATTTAGAGTAATTTAGACTATTATTTGTACTTTAATGAGTTTGAGGTTTCACTCTCAAATTAATTAGTATTTTTTAAACTCCTATAGAAATTGTAAATTACTTTCATTTATGAGTTTTAAATGGTGTTTTGAACTCAGGTGGGAGAAGACACAGATAGATATTACTAGTGAAGTGGCCTAAAATAACTAGCTTTGCAGATGAAGTGGGTTCAACCAGTTGCCACGACAGTTAATCCCCTTTTAGTATCCAAGTTCAAATGTCATATCTCGTAAAGATTAATTTATAGTGTGTTTACTAATCAGGAATTGAATTTCACCTATGGAGTAATCCTTCGTTTACTTCACATCAAAGAATTGAAAAGTAAGTTGGGCTCATGCAAAATCATGAATTCATTCTTGAGTGGAAGGTGATATTCTAATTCGTGAAGAACTAACCCATTATGAATTCATCTTTTTTACCCATTATATCCTTACACAATTTTAAAAATTCCAAATTTATCATCTACCTTAACCTAACAACGAGGATATTTTAGTAATTATTACCACTTTTACCCCAATTTCATATGATTTAGTAAACAACTTTAATAGAAATCCAGAATCTAACTCCCATCAATCCATATAGTTTAGTAAACAACTTCAGTAGAAATCCGAAATCTAATTCTCCTCAATCAAACTCCTCCTCAATACATTTCCTCATAATCCAATTACAGATTAATAAACATACTATTAGAGTAGTTTAGACCATCATTTATACTCTTCTAATAAAAAAATTGTAACTCTTATTATAACTAGGCTTAATTGCTACAGTGCACCTTGAAATATTGGTCAAGTCTCACTTTATCCCCTTAAAGTTAAAGTGACCCACTTTGCCCTCTTGACCGATGTTTTATGTCTCATTTTGCCCCTCAACGTCAAGTCTGTTAAAAATTCTATTAAAAAAACTGACGTGGCCCCAATAGTAAAGTTAAAGTGACCCACTTTGCCCTCTTGACCGATGTTTTATGTCTCATTTTGCCCCTCAACGTCAAGTCTGTTAAAAATTCTATTAAAAAAACTGACGTGGCCCCAATAGGACCCACTATTTCACCAAACTAAGTGTTAAAAAAGTTGACATGGCACTAATAGAACCTACTTTTAAATTTTTTTTTGTTTTAAAGTATTATTTTTATTTTTAATAGTTAAATTAAGAATTTTAAAAGACAATTTTTAATTTTTTTTTCTTCACACATGGCACTTAGTTTAGCCAAATAGTGGATCCCATTGGTGCCACATCAACTTTTTTAACGGAATTTTTAACAGACTTGACGGTGAGAGGCAAAGTGAGACATAAAATATCGGTCAAGGGGGCAAAGTGGGTCACTTTAATTTTAAGAGGATAAAATGAAAATTGACCAAAATTTCAGAGGGCACTGTAGCACTTAAGCCTTACAACTACTCTAAAAAAATGTATTGAATTACTAGTTAGCAAAAGGTCAAAGATGCGGACAGTGTCGTCACATGGTCTGGTTTCATTCTCACGCGTGGGGGCAAAAACCAAGGAAAAAAATACATAAAAGCGGGTAAAGAAGCAAACAAGATTGACGTTGGCATTAAAGTAGCGTAAAATACTCTCTATCGATTCAGTCCAATCTCGCTAATAATTGATGCCACACCCACACCCACACCTATAAGATAAATTATAATTTACTGTGGAACACATCCTGCATAAGACAGAAACAAAGTTTACTGTTTACCGACTACGACATAGGATTGGTGTATGCATGCGCATGTGATGGAAGAGACCAATAAACATCTTGTGTAAATTTGACAATTGTTTTGCACCGTTCAAGTATAAGTAAATAAGGTTAGCTGCCTGGTTTTATTGACGCTGTTGCTTTGAACAATTTTACCTTTTGCTATGTATGTATGACCATGAACTTCCAAGTCGGTTTCAAAATGGAAAAGACAACATAGTCCAATTTCAGCACGACTAGTAAGTCAGTAAACTTAATACAACCAACTATGGTGCAAAATCCAACATAAACTGAGAGCATTCTTGTAAAGACATAACCTCAAGAACTCAACTCGTGGAAGTTAAAACACTTGGTCAACTACAAAGACGGTTCTTAAAAATTGGACATTTCCATTTTAACCCCATTCAGCATGAGGATCATCACATAATTCAAGTAAATATAGACTGTTCCTAGAGCAAATCTATCCAATGAGAGTGCAAGACCTATTTTGGGAACCAAAAAAGTTGACATTTAGGCAAACTTCCAAAAGAAAAACCATAAAATCTATGTACTTACAGCTACAATATACTTCCAAGATGTATAATAGCAACCACCCTTTCTTAACAAAATTCTTAAAATATGGTTCTCTCTAATAATCAGTACAAGCCTAACATGTTTCATAGGATTCTTCACAAACATACCCTCAAAAAACCAAATCATCAAATACACGAAAGAAATTTAAAGGCAGAGCAAACAAGAAGGAACTAAAGAGAGAGAAATATAAAGGTCAAATTTCCTTAATGTCCCTTCTATTTTGCCAAGTTTCATGTAAATTGCAGTGGAGTCCCAGTTATATGCGGAAATAGAATTTAATCTGTCAGGAGCTATGACTTTGGTAGAAGAGAATACAGTCATAGAACTCTAACATGAATTCCTTTTTTGCTCCTGATATGTTAGATGCAAATTGAACTACTGCATACATTCTATGAGTGTGAAATTTATATAACAACAAAATAAACAGAGGAGGTGAAGGATATACCCGATCATGCTTTCGATTCTCTCTTCCCCCTTCCCCCGGGATGCAGAATTGCACAGGTTAAGTAATGAAAATTCCGTTACACGCACAACAACACTCTCACTCAAAATTCGTCAAAGGTCCAACTCAAGGATCAATCTTGAAAGTTGAGACAACAAATCAAAGTCATCAAGACATATACAAAACACAGCGACGATATAGAAGAATGGTTGCTGAACTATAAATCGCCCAAACAAACATAACCCACCAAGCCATAAAGAGAGCCACTTCTTTCACAAAGGCAGAGCAAGGCGCTAGACTACAAATGTATTTGTAATTTTCCGAAGAGATACCATCAATCTGAGATAGTCCAAGAAAAAGGAGTAACACAATTGGTGGTGCAAGAAACTGCACAACTACAAGGCATAAGTAGTGATTGTGCAAAAACACCTTAGCCCTACTGAAATCCAAGTCTGGAACCCTGCTAGCATGCAATCTTTGGTACCAAGATAACAGTGCCTCATTCAAATACATTTGTATGTTGGGGCGTAGAGCAACAATTTGCAGAAAACTCGAAAGCAGTAAGCAGCAAAGCCTAAAATTAGCAAAATCTGAAGGCGAAAATCCAACATTGCCAATCAACATCTCAGCATTTCCAACTTTTCCATTTATGTTCTTGTTCACGAGCATTCCAGCAAATGGATTAATCCACAAAAGAACTGTGAATACAATCATCATATAATTTGCATACAGAACCACTCTACCAAACCAATCACATGATAGCATTACCAAATCAGACCTAATCTGATCAGTTCCAAGCCAAAAGCACCTCGCACTCTTCACTGCGGGCATAAACAAGAAACCCGAAAAGCATCCCATTAAAACAGCAACAAAGATCCTCCCAGACCCATCAATTGAGTCAAAATTGAAATCTAAAACCGAAGGACTAAATGTGAAGCAAACCATATATCCTAAAACCAACCCCACAACGCCGCAAAGCACACTCAGTTGCTTCTCTGACCGCCGCGACGCAGATTTCTCATACGAAACTTTGCCAAGCAACATTAACAACTTAGAAATACCCGCAAAGCCTAACAGAACCGGAACAAACATCCCATTAACCAAAAACCCAGAATTGTTTGATTCGCTATTCAAGTACAATAATTGAAGCAAAAGACAAGATAGAGATACAAATGAGAAAGTGAAAGCATTGCAATACTCATTGAAATAGAGCCTGGTTTGAAGATGGGCCTCGTCGAGCTTTAGGCGAAAGATCTGAGCATTGTTTTCATCGAACTCGGGCTTGTCCTTTGACTTGGACCTCTTCCTGAGCTCGGAATTGGATTTTGAAGGTAACCCAGAAGCCGAATCGGAGGCATCGGGCCTCCGAATGGCAGCTCGGACTCCACTTTGGACGTTGTCAGGGTGGATGTAGGTGTGGAGGCCACGGAGGAAGAAGATGGGGATTTTGAGGAAGGTGAGGAGGAGTGTGAGTGTGAGAGAGAGTGAGAGTTGAAGTATAAGATTCTTGTAGGTGATGAAGAATTGGAGCATGGTTCTCTTCCCTTCTCTTAGCTTCTTCAATTCTTTTTGGGTATTTCAAAGACCAGAGAGTGTGGAGTTGTTGGGGACAGACAATGCTGTTAGAGAGACACAATGTGGGGTTTGAGATCTTAAGGTTGGCTTGGCTTCTGATAAAGGTTGTTATACTTTGCTCTTTGTGTTTTGTGGGCCTGTAGGCCTGTGGACATTTGGACCTCTGTGTATGTGGGCCTGTGAGCCTGTAGCCCTGTGGGTACTCTTTAACCCTCCATAGGCAAGTAAGCAATGGAGGTTACATATCATGCTACGATTTGAATAGTCATGGAAGATTTTTCTGGGTCAAGGATGATATATTGAAGTACAAAAATACCACACGTGAAGTATACGTGTGTGAAGCGAATTGATCATAGAAGTGCATCCGCCCCTCTTTGCACCCGAGTTTAATCTCCCTTATTATATGTTAGAATAGTTAGAATACCGTTTTATCCAAAAAAAAGAAAAAAAAAACTTACCCCACATGAGTGAGGAGATTTTATTCATTGATATATGGAACAAAAGGAAATACAAAACTTGAGAACTTAAGATTCATAAACAGATTAATTCCAATAAATACACAAAGGATTGAATCATGCAATGCTCCTCCTTGAAGTTGTGTTCATCAACCTAGAAAAAACTCTCTCTCCCAACTCAAATTCACCCCCCAACTAAGCCACAAACTCTATCCTATTCCTATCCAAAAAGATAAGATTGCTGCCGGAAGGATCAAGATTGAGTACTATTTATTGATCGATTTCTTATTGTCTTCTTTCTACTTTCTTCCTTGAAGGGTACCCAACCCAACCCATCACAGGGTCACTTTGGTGATTTGATCATGGATCGATGCCAATCTTGCCTCCTAAAAATCAACTACACCATCACAATCATTTTCCGAAAAGTCACTACTGCTGCATTTACTACAACGACCGAAAGAAATTATAAACGAAAAACCCTACAAATTAATGCTACAATTAACATTAACAAGAATTGGATCATAGCTGTTCAGGTACATTTAGCTGGTCTCTCCCATCTTTATCACCAACCGCTCTGATCTCAAACTGTGGGACCACCTGTGGGGATACAAAATTAATTACATTATTATTAACTCTTAATCAACCCACTTCTCTGAAGAAAAAATTAAAAGAAGAGACAGGCAAAATCTCAATCCAGTCTGTCATGGTGGTTACCAACTCATTACTCATTGTCGTGTGAATCACCAACCTGATCTTGTGATGCATTGAACGATTGAGATGAAAACCTCCTTAATCTTTTGTCTGCTCCGCCGTCCTTTCTGCCGCCTGGACAAAACATCATTAACAAGATAAAGCTTATAGTTTTAGAGAAAATTACCCTTCTAATTTGAATAAGGTAAAAGCACATAAATATCTCAAGACATATTCGATCGGCATTTAAATTATATATTCTTGTGTGTGAACGACGAGGTGGAGCCTGGAGCCAAATTAAACGCACATTTTTCACGTTAAGCACAAGATTAAACTATTAAATACATTTATATATAAATAAAACTACATAAAAAAAAACATATAATTACCTTGTTTTTTGGTTTTGTTGAGGGTTTTGAGATCTAGGGTTGAGTCTGAGGTATCAGGCAAGTAACGGTCGAGACGAAGAAGGCGATGATCCTTCTTCTCAAACATGGCGCGCACAAACGATGCCTCCATGCTGTTCAAGAACTGCACGTGCTTCTCGTCCGTCCACGACCTCTTTTTACCGCTCTGCACGTGCGACTCCATCCTGATTTCTTAGTTTCAATATCTACTCGCCGGACGGAGTTTCGAGTTTGGAGGTTGGGAGAACAACCAGGACGGAGCTAGCCAGCGGCTGTTTGAAAATCTGAAGGGATTGCTTGGTATGTTTAATGCATTCGGTTTCTAATGAAAACACTATATGGAGCATATATGCAGCTTTTATTATAGGTAGGGTGACATTTTTTGGTTTGTTGGAGCTTTTTTGACGTAGTTAGGAAGAGAGTATTCAGAAGTACCTACTCGCTGTCTTCAGCCGACATGTGTTTGGCTCACCATAACATGTCACTTTCCAAATATCCCAACTCGATCAACTCCAATATAATAATCTTAACAAAATTTAGTTTTTTCTTATCTCTACAATATCAGTTTGTTGTGGGATATTATTCTGTGGTTGATAAAAAATGAAGATATTTTTCTTTGGCTAGATGGTTGAAATATCAATGAGTAAGGCTGTCGAATCAATTTATACATTTATAAAAGAAAGAAAAAACAACGAGTCACCAATTGATGAAATAATATAAAAAATCAAACAACTAATTAATTTGAGCATATTTATCCGAACTTACTTATATGATTGTGTGTGTGCTTTTTAATACGAGTGATAGTCTAAATTAATATGATCTATAAAGAAGACAAATCGAACTCGATGCAAAAACTCAAACACTCTTTGAACAAACTAACATCAATTAATGTGGGTGTCCTTAATACTTGGCCTAGCTAGCTTAGGTGCCTAACAATTAGATTATCAAAAACAAAAGTGTTCTGACTAAGATTTTTTTATCAAGAGAAGGAAAAGAAAAGGCTATACCGTGAGTAGAAGGCGAGTATGGAAGTTTTTGTGCAGGCGAGGAGGTATAGAAAGTGGAGGATGAGTGTGAAAATATCTAAAGAGCTCTTTTTGGTCAAACAAATATCTTAGAACTTTATACGATCTTTTTTTCCCTCCGGTAAAATGAACTTTATGCGATTAGCTTATAAGCTCTGAGAGATATTTTGGGACGAATGAAGAATCTTTGAGACGCGCCTAGATATGTATGTATATTATATATATATACACAAAGAGTAGGAGGACTAAATACGAAAATATCAGCGCGAGTCTTTTGAGATATTAAGATGCTGACTGTACTTCCAGATGGGGGTCCCTTGTAGGGTTCTGAATTTTTTTATTTCTTTCTTGGGCATCATAATCATACGTTCTGAGAATTATTTAATATTTTACCCAATTTTATTTTATGAATAGACTATTTAATAATGATTGGGCCTCATTCTATATTTTCATAGGTCGAAAATCAAAAGCCTTAAAGCTGAAATTAACTTTTAATTTATTTATATTCTTCTTGGTTACAAAGTGAGCCATGGGCTTATTTTGTTTTGGGCCGAGAGCCGTAGGCCCAAATAACATACAGCCCTTGGTGGGTCCAATCTCATTCATTCATTCATTCGAGATTGGTGTGGCGAGCTCGTATGGCCTCAGGGCTCTGACCTAAGGCCTCACCCAACTTATACACCACCATCTCAAACAACACGAACAAAGCCCCTTCGTACACGCTCCCCATCGGAAGCAACGGCCGAGATTCCATCACATCACCAGCATCCGCATCATTTGCCATGGTCTGCGCTGGCACGTAACCCACCACGCTAGCGTGCTTCACACAGGATCCCGTCTCCGGCTGGGCAGTTAGCAGCAGGACTCTAGCACCGTGCGATCGTGCCACGGAGCAAATAGCTTCGACGGTGGAGAATCCACCTGGGCCCGCAGAGGCGATGAGTAGATCGTTGGTGGAGATTGGGGGAGTCGTCATGTCGAAGACCATGTGAGCCGAGAGGCCGAGGTGGGCCAGCCGCATGCACAGAGCCTTCAGCATTAGGCCCTCTCGGCCCACTCCGTAAAGGAAGACGCCGCCGTTTCGGGCCGCTGCAGAAGACAGCTCGTTGACCAAAAGGTCTAAGACTGGCGGGTGTGGGTGGGTTGGTTTAGTGAAGATGGAGGCTATGTGATTGCAAATTTGGGAGGCAAGGGAGGCCATTGAAGAGCTCTGGGACTGCGAATCCATTGCTGTAAGTCTCAAGCGTCAAGGATAAGAGGGCTGTGATCAATTTAAGTGGTATATGTGAGGTGAGGTTCTTGCCAATCAGCGACACGTCAGCATTAGGCAAAAATTTGAGCCTCATATTTCCTTTTCATTTGTTTCTGGACTTTCTATGATTTTGTCTGGTTTGAATGTATGTATGTGTGTATGTATGTATCATACCATAAAACAGTGATGAAATAAACTCCAACTAACAGAAAAAATTGTTTATGGAAGGGCATATAAAATGGTTTGCGTAACGACGTTACAGTGAAGGGGAAATAAAGTGAACTATTTACAAACAAAAAGCATATTGAAAGATACAAATAGCAGTTATATGAGCATTCTGTATCAACCACCAAAAAACTGTAATCCAATGTCAGTGAAATCATCAATGGAAGTCTTAGCTTGGCTTTGATCTAAGCTCCATTAGCTGGAGGTCCGGAAGATTTTTTAGTCGAAGAGGCAGTACCATCTTTCTCGATATCTATTTCCTTCACACCAGCAGTTAACGAGGAACCGGATCTCTTCTCCTTATCCATCTCAACATCCTCGTCCTCATCTTCATCGTCGAGAAAGGAGCCTTTCCGCCTGAGTTCTTTTACTTTCTGGAATTCATCATAATGAGCTCTTCTGTGCTCCCTAAAACTCCTACCATTTTTATCTGTCTCAGAATCTGCAAAGTCCCAGCAGAAAATGGGGGAACAGACAGTCAGATGAAAATAGTATAAATGTAAGTGAGGGGTAGCACAATTTGAATATATCCCAGTCTTTTTTTAACTGGGCAAAGGGGACGCGAGAACTAGAAGAGGATTAAACAACGAAGTTCTACGCATTAACAGAATATAATGAGGGAAAGTTTAGACGCAATAATAACCCATGACTACGTTCATTAGGACCCAATCTTATGTGTCTAACATGAAGTAACAGCGTGAGATGATGCAACTTCAACATACCCCTCTACCAATTCACTGTATTTCATTGGTAGCACAAAACATTTGACATCTACTCTCTTCATATACCTTCCATACAGAGGATAATAACATGTAACAGAACTTAACACTAAATTTAAATTGGGGGGAAAAGCTTACTAAAGTTTAATAGTTTAAATAATAAGGTGACAAGTTTAAATTTAATCAGCCAACTGCAAGGAAATATAGCGAATAGTTGTAACAAAATCTGATTGAAAGGGTTAACTTTGGGAAGAAAAAGAAAAGAGAATGAAAGAAGACCTTCATCATCTTGTTCCATAGCATCTGCCTCATCCTCAGATGATGTCCAGCCAGTAGATCTTGGGGTGTTCTTTCTACTTGATGATGCCACATCGGTCAAAGCAGTTCGTATTGCTTCTGCATGAACTGCATCACCAACACAATCATTGAAGCTACCCCGTATAGGAGACAGAGATCCTGCCAAGATTAAAGTTGCCACACAAAATGATAAGTTTCCACATTTAAGATACATATATATTTTTCTTTCAGAAAACGAGTATTGAAAACCAACAAATCAAACATTAGCATATGAAAAGAAACAATCATTGAAACTCAAGACCACTTTATACGTAACACCAGTGACACTTTGTTTTTAAGGAAAAGAAGACAAACACATAAACATTCATGCATATACAACTGACAGGCCTCCATAGAAAGGAAAATATGATAGAAACCAGCGTACCATCCTCATCATCGGTCATCATAGGGTGGTATGGCGTCTTTGGCTCAGTAATTTTCTGCCTTACAGGTTTATTTGCTTCGATTTCTCCCAGATTAGCCTCATCCCATCTAACTCGGCCCCTGCCACTCAATCAGCAAAATAAAAAATCAGTATATCTATCAACCTCAAACATATGATAAGAAACAAAAAGTATACAAGATTTTACAAAACAGAAAAACCATCCATCTCCAAAATGCAATGCCTTAATAAACATTTCATTCTTAATATCCCTTGTTAAGACAAAAAGAATTTAACACAAGTATAAACCACACCCAAAAAATATAAAGACAATAGAAGAAGACAGATTGAATTACTTCATTTTGCTAAACAGCTGATCTCCGCAAAAGCAGCACAAGCAACTGCTCAATTGAATTGAATTCTCTGAAACAAATTGAAAAACTTATTAAATTCTAAACATTAAGCAGAATAAACCCAAAACAATTGCATTCCGACAATGAATTATATTTACACAATAACCTAAGAACCTAAGAAAGAAAGAAAAAATAAAATAAAAAAAGAAGGAAATTTCAATTCCATTTCTCCGAAATAAATCCAAAGCTCAAAGATGGGCCATAATATACTAATCAAAGACGCAGAATAATAAAACTATCCAATAGAGCCACAGATCAATAGCGCATTAAAACCCTAACGAACCAAATCTTCAAAAACGCAGAAGGTGCCCAAGAAAATATATGGATCACCTTGCTTACGCTTCGTTTGGTTGCTGACAATATTCGAGAAAATAGAAGAAAATGAACCACTGGAACCATAGACACGGTCAATTAAACAGCGAGTTTGTTTACGGATCGGAACTTTCAATTTCTTTCATTTTCCTGCCGTTTCCGGGATTTCTTGGACAATTTTGAGCGTAAAAAATAAAATTTATAAGTAGGAGAAAACAAGAACAGAAAATTGGATTTCGTACCTCACTTCCTCTGGGAGAAAGAAAATAAGCGTGCGAATCAATCGAAGAGCTGAATCAAATTTTTCTTTTTTAGTTCTTATGTTGTCCTGTTTTACTAAATTACCCTACCGAATAAGATGTAATAACAATTGAAGCGACCGAAGGATGTTTCTTGCAGTGCGAAGATCTTCGACCGTAAATCCAAATTGCACCCCTATGATCTAAACACGTCAGCAGCAGAGGGTACGGCGAGAAGGATTTTCAAAACGTGTAGCCGCGCGGCTATACTTCTTAAATATAATAAATTCTATTGATTAAATAGTATAGCCGGCCGGCTGTACCATTTAAATATAATAAATTCGAACATTTAAATTCTATAGCCGCGCGGCTATACCTTTTAGAAATAATAAATCGAATATTTGCAGAGTATAGCCGGGCGGCTATACTTCCTAAATATAATAAATAGTATCGCCGCGCGGCTATACTGTTCAAATATGATAAATTCGAATATTTAAAACGTATAGCCAAGCGGCTAGACTTCTTAAAATAATAAATGCGAATATAGAAAAGTATAGCCGGGCGGCTATACCTTTCAAATATGATAAACTCGAGTATTTAAAAGGTATAGCCGAACGGCTAGACTCCTTAAATATAATAAATTCCATTATTTAAATAGTATAGCCGCTCGGCTATACTCTAAATTGGAATATTTAAATAGTATAGCCGTGCGGTTATACTTCTCAAATATGATAAATTCGAATATTTTAAAAGTATAGCCGCGCGGCTATACGTTTATATTAATCTTAAAATTTTGTCAAGTTAACTTTACCGAAAAACAAAGGAAAAAGAAATTGCACCATGTAGGTCCCAGCCTATAGACTCGAAAACTTCGCCAAGGGTAATTTGGGCGAGGGAATGACAAATTTGTCAATTACAAATAACATATTAATATGGAAAAAAATTTGGGAAGGAAAAATAGAAAGAGAGTTTTGTAGCTTAAGAAGCTGTTCTTGGGGGCCCAATAGCTACACGGAGTAGCAGGAGTTCTTGATAACAGTGAAGACATCGCCTGCATCCCACAAGAGTAAGAGTTTGAGTTTTTGCAATCACATATATGTATGTATATCAATAGACTATAGATCCAACTTTGTTTTTCTCCGTCAATATCTGATTATCATGCGTGAAAATTCTTTGTTGATCTGGGTCTCTTACGGTTCTTTGTTCTGTCTGAATTTTAGTGCTGAAAGGAAAATGGGTTATGTTAATTTTCATTTTTGTTTTTAGATCTATTGGTAATATTGTAACTTGATGATTGAGCTACTAAAGAAGGCTTGATGTAGTTTGCTGAAAATGAAAAGGGTAGTTTATGATTATAATTACTTCAAAAAGAGTTGGGGTTTTACAATTGACGAAAAGTTGAAGACTTAGAACCTCAATTGGTGAGGGCAATCAGAAGTTGAGCAAAATGTATTGAGTGTATGCGAATTCTGTTGAGATTGCCAAATGGATCCAAGTGTTTCAAATTTGCAGCAACATTAACCCGTTTTGTTCTGTTTCAGGTGGTAAAATTCACAAGGTTGAGGAAGATCAAGTTTGATAATGAAATTCTTTCGGTAGGGATAAAATAGTAAAGAGATCAAGGGCAGAGATGTTTTCGTTGTTTTATGGACTCTGGAAATATATGTTCAGTAAGACAGAGTTTCATGTACTCATTCTTGGAATCGACAAGGCTGGGAAAACGGTAATGCACCTGTGAAATCTTCTTTTACTCATTGGGCTTTATTTTGTGATTTTGAGCTGCTTTTATTTTTGGTGGAATTGTCTTCTTTTAACACATCTTCAGATACATTAGCTGTAATTCTTATTCTGATATCAATTTGTAGACTTTGCTCGAGAAGTTGAAATCACTTTACTCAAACTTGGAAGGTCTCCCTCCTGATCGAATTGTTCCAACTGTGGGACTTAATATTGGTCGTATTGAAGCATCAAATACCAAACTTGTGTTCTGGGATCTGGGAGGTCAGGTATGTGAAATTCATCCGTGCCATTTATATTCTTTCATCTTTCTTATTCTTTATTTTAACATAGATTTGTTCTCCTTTTACTGGACTCTAGTTCCAAGTATTGTTCCACAAAATGTAGGATTGGGGAATACTATACGCTACTAGCATCATATTCAATTTTACATTTTCCAGAGAACATTATTATTGTTAATATTACTATCATTAGCTGGTTATCACATATCAGGATTGTTGTAGTCTCCAGCTGTTGCAAATCAATCCTTTCTGTAGTATCGCATATCAGGATTGTCAGAATTATTGATGCAAGAGTTGTTTGTTTTTGCTGTCAGCCTGGTCTTCGCTCAATCTGGGAAAAATATTATGAAGAAGCACATGCCGTAGTCTATGTAATTGATGCCACTTGTCCCGCACGTTTTGAAGATTCAAAATCTGCATTGGGTAGGTGATATTAAATTGCTAAATCTTGTGAACATATTGTGTTGGGTTTTTAACTATGATTTCCTATGATCATATGGCTATTGAAGTTGAGGAATAACAAAAATACGTGAGACACTGATACTATTACTTTTAACTTTTTAAAACCAGAAAAAGTTCTTCGGCATGAGGATTTGCAAGGAGCTCCTCTGTTGATTTTGGCCAACAAGCAGGTGAGAGGCAAATTATGCATCATTCCGAACCAAAAGAATAGTATCATTTCACACAAATTCATAATCAACCTAATCATGAATTTTCATAAATTTGGGCTTCCATATGTCTGAAGTTATGGAACCACAGTTTTCACGTTTTGGTATTTTCTTCAAAATGCGCACACCCTGAAATCTATGTGCATAGTTCTCCTTAGGTTACATATCTTCTATAGAAGGGTTGTAATTTGTTGTGCATCCTTCTATGTTTGATATGACGATCTGCTATTCCTCTGTCATCTCTTGTTTCTATTGTAGCTACCTTCCATTTACCAAAACCAAATTCTTTCTTTGAAGTCTTGTTGTGCTCTGAAGTCTAGTTTTTGTGTGCCTGTGAAGAACCTTGGATGCTGGCAGAAGCATTGGCATGCATTGTGTTGTGTTAACCTGGTTCTTAATTAAGAGAAAAAAATAAATTGCTCAATAAATCTCCCTGTCTTCACTCTATTGAAATACGCTGGCAATGGCAGGATCTTGCTGATAGTGTATCAGCCGAGGAACTTGCTCGATATCTAGATCTTAAAAAGTTGGATGAAAGGGTTTATATGTTTGAAGCCGTTTCAGCATATGATGGGTAAGTGGATCTTTTCTAAGCTCCATTGCTTCGCCAAATATTTAAATTTTAATTCCTCTGATACATTAGCAATATAGAAAAGAAATTTTGGCACCTGATGAACTACTACATAGTGGTTGAACCAGAGATCCGCAGTACACATTTCTCTGCACGGAGATGTGGTAGATTTACAAAATGCAGTAGCTCTTACAGTTTGATATTGGATTGCAGGATGGGGATTAAAGAAAGTGTGGAGTGGTTGGTGGAGGTAATGGAGAGAAGCAAGAGAACTGAAATGTTGAGAGCCCGTGCAGGAGCAACAGGCCCTGCTTCCAACTAGAATGTCATGTATCAAATCAACAACCGATATGGCAGTTGGGTTGCCCTGCTTCTTTCTGTAACAGTTGTGTAAATAAATCAGGCTTTTTGAATTCATTCTGATTATTTATTATTATTACATGATTCTATGTCAAAGATCAAAGTTTTCACATGTCTTCTTCAGGCTAGTGCTTCTAATTGTTCTTACTTTTTTAGCCGGAAAATTCAGAATGTAGGATAGAACTTATTATGTGAATCTTGTATTTTAAATTGCTGTTTCCTCCATACGAAAACAGTTGCAGCCTAGGAATTTTATGCATCAACATGACCCTCATTGCAATTGTCTCGTACTCGACAAGAATCAGAAGCAAGATTCAGGGACTTGAATAATGATAATAATAACACATAAATAATAGGGACATTGGATCATTTGAATACATTTGTTTCCCTTCCTTGACATCCTTTGCAAGGAATACATTTGAAGAAGCTGCTTCAGTTTTTCAAGGCACGGCGTTGAGCTGAGCTGCTATTTGCTCGCTGCCCTTATTCTTCTTCACTGCTGGTTGTGGTTCTTTGCAAATCAAAAGGAGAAAAGGCAATGTGTCATGTTCAATAATTCTAGTACACCAAAAATCCAATATATATATATTTTTTTTCCTTCCAAAAGTAATGTAAGAAAAGAGTGAAATACTTACTGGAAATGAGGGCCATAGGTCTGGCCTTGAACAGAATCCGGTGGCGAATAATTCCAATGACTTCCAATTCTACCCCTGCGTCTCGGGAGGGCTTGAGTTTCCTTAAGACCAAGAGTGGCTTCTTCAAGGGCTGTTTGGTCCCTGTCAATTCGTGATACCCAATAGTAAAGGTGTAGGTTTGGTCCTGGGAGGAGGCGGAAGGGCGGCAGAGGAGGCCGATGTGGAGGTTGTGGAGGCGATCTTGAAATTGGGACTGAACCTCCACCATCCCTTGCAATTCCACCACCGCCCATTCTGGGCAGTTGCTCTCTCCGCAACTGCACTTCACCCGAATCTGCATTCTCTCTCTCTCTCTTCTCTTCTTCTTCACTTTCTTCTTTTCCCTCACTTTTCAATTTAACCCTTTTTTTTGGGCGGCTAACGACTCCCGCTCTCCAAACGAAGTTCTCACTATAGAATTCTACGTGAATGTAAAATAGCAAAGGACATTTGTTTTGGGCCTGAGTGCTTAGAGCCCATTACCCAAAATAAAAAGGGCATGGATAGGGCCCAACCCTGAACTCATCCATCCATCAGTTAAGGGCCCAACAATAAGAATAAATACGAATATAATAATAATAATAATAAAAGGATTATAACAGCTTTAATGGATTGTAATAGAAATTAATTCAAAATGTGTAACCCTTAACATGAATATTACAGGAGCATACACTGTTAATAAGAAAATACATTAAAGGTAAACATACACAGAGAAAACTCCGCCGAGGCAATCTCTTTCCAAAAGAGATTGTCCTTATGGCTACGTTGTGATAAACTAACACAAGAAAAAATGAAAAAAAAAAAGGTTAGGGGCGTGGAACTAGGGAACTAGGTTGGTGGTATAAACAAAGTGTTGTATAAGCTGTACAAGGATTGAAGTCAGTGCAATTGTGCAAGTGCATTGCCCATGTTTCACATTGATTGCCTATCCATGCCCTTTTGGTTTGTATCTGATCCACCAGAACTACGTAAACTTGCATTCCTGGTGTGTGCAGGCTCTGAAAATTGCTGGCACAAAACATCAGTTTGGCAGAAGTTATCTAGACCAACATTTTTCAAGGTCAAGTCACTGTTTCCTTGGGTTCTTGATGAGCTTAGTTGCTGCTGAAAATACTCCTCAATATGAGGATCATAGTCCAGTGGGATTGCACCTGTGAGAGTTTTTATAGCAAATTCAATGCATGGGTCTGGCCATAAACCCCCGAAAGGCAACTCCACTGGGGATCCTGACTTCTGTTCAGCCTTATCATCCCTTCCAACTTTTCCCCCATGTTGTTCTGGTATAAAAAGGTTGCCAGGAGCCAAAACAACATCGCTCCTCTTATTGTCTTCTTCTTTGTTTCCAGAACGATCTTTGGGAGTAGCCAAGTCACCTGAAGATTGCTCACTATTGCTCCTGGAATTGTCAAAAGCTATTCCAGTGAGAGTCTCTATTGCAAATGCAATGCATGGATCTGTCAAGAAATCCCCCAGCGGCAAGTCTGGTTGAAGTCCTGGCTTCTCTTCTGCCTTATCAGTGGTTTCAAGTTTTCCTGCATGTTCTTCTGGGAAAACAGAAGCACACCTTTGCTTCTCGTCACCACTAATCACTGTTGCCACATTTTGAACATGCTTTTCTGGCTCAACCTCAGGATAACCAGGCTGTTGGAATACAGAACCAGTGGAATTACCCGAGGAAGAACCTTCAGTTCTACTATGTACTCCTTCCCCTGATTGTTTAATTGTAACTCGACGTGCTCGAGTACTTGTTTTCAGTTCTGGCACTGGATCAACTTCAACTCCAGCTAGTCGCTTTGAAGCACGACGAGGCAAGTTCAGCTCTTTCTTCTTCTTGGACTTGCCCAGGCTAAGTTGGGTCTTTTTACTTTCATGTTTAAAGAGCCCACTTTCCAGGCATTGCTTATCTGCCAGGCCTCCACCTGCTGGAACTGAAATAAATTCACTTTTGTAAGAATCACCGTCCTGTTCTTTCTGCTCCGAACCTTTGGCTTCTGTTGGATTTAAGCTGCCTGATTCAGTGTCCACCTCAGCTGCAGTCAGTTGTGTGATTTCAAATTAGATAAAAGCTTATTATATCGTAAAGTAGAATAAGGGTTGGCCCTTCGAAATCAATCTAACTTCCTAAATCATCACCCCGAAAAAAAAAGACTTATTAAGAGCCTCAAATCTTATTTCCACATAAAAGAAACAGTGTAAACAAGAGATGAAAGTTGCACATTACTCTGATCAGAAGTTTGTGCAGGAAAGGTCGGGCTTTCTCCATTACATGCTAGATTAAGTATCTGTCCATCCTTCATGATCTCATTCAAGTGCAAGCTCTGATTGAAGTTACAGACAATGTAATTTTGCCTAATAATCAAAGTTAATGATGGGCATAATAAAGTACAAACCCAAACAATCCCTTTTTCAGTATAAACTTACAGAGGCCTTTTCATCTTCCAATTCCTTATCACTGCCATGACTTGGTTCTAGAATTAGCCTTCTTGGCTCCTCATTTTCAAGATAGCGATTCACATCCTTCATAGAGCGGAATAATTTTTCACTTACAGGATCAATATAGTACTGCATACATTGAATATCGGGTCAAAGAATGTATTGATTTTTCAGTGGCCAAATTGCAGTACAAATATCATGCAAATCCTCTGCAATGCAGCCAAGCAAATCAAGAAATAGTGAAATTTTTTGAGAGATTACCGAGTCTCTCCTGATCTTATGATCCTTTTTTGTCATCCGAATTTCTTTGATCCATCCTGGAGGTAGTCCTTCTGCTATAGTCTTCTCAACCACAACCTAATTGCTTGAATAATTGAAGTTTCTATATCCAAATTAATAAAATAGGATAAAATGAAACATCTAAATGTAAATAATAAAGAGCAGTCTGTGTCAACGAACATCATTTGCTGATCGCTTCAGAGTCTCTTCAACTTTCTGTTTGACTTCATCGCTGATTTGAGAGGTGTTTAGATAGCGAGATACCTCTGCCTTGGAATTGAATTTATGTCCACTTGAGGTATCGTAATAATACTGCAATAAGCGCAAATTACATACATCTGAACTAAAGTATGTTGAGACACATCACAAAATATAATCAAGTTGATATTCTCTCCATATACAACTGTTTCAAATTTTACCTTAAAATTAACACTTATCCCCAAACCCTCGCAGTCATTTTCTTATGTTTGCTATATGTCTTAAAGAAACAATAGAAAATCCACGGAAATTTCGGGTACTGAGGCCCTATCTCGTTTCAGATTCTATATCCTACAATGTTCTCAAACGATTTCCATAACATCTTTCCTTTTTGGCAAGACTTGAAAATTGAAATGCTACCTTCTAGGACATACAAATTATGAGATAAACATCACTGATCAACATAACAATCACAACGGAATGAACCCTCTAACTTTAAAAAACATATAAATTTTCAAGTTTACATCTTCGATCACAAGGAAAAAGACCACATTTCTACCCTATTGACTTCCAAAATCCACCCAAACCCACTGTAAGTTTAGAAAACTTCGTAATCAGCTACGTGGATTACCATGTAATGCAATCCACTTAACATTAAAACTAATTTTCCGAACTTTGACAAACAAAGAAAACAAAATTCCATACTTCCCGATCAGTGTAAGCCTCTGTTAACTTGCACTAAGCATAAAAATTGGTTCTTCGCCAAGTTCAGGAACATAAAGCTAAACAAGCTATAACTTTAACATGGAAAATTACTCGAGGATCTTGCAGTCGTGAAGATAGAAAGAGCTCAAAGAAATATCGATTTTTTACCTTGTCTCTTTTACCGTTATTTCTAACTTTGACCTCAACGGTCCAACCAGTTGGGAGCCAGTCCTCGGATTTTTGGTCCGTCATCTCGCCGGAATATGACTACAGTCAGTCTCTTTCTCTCTCTCCGTGAGTCAAAAGCTTGGAAATTTAGAGTGCTCTCGGATAAAAGGTCTACTCAGACCCCACGTGTTGCCCAAACTCTCCTGCGATGCGAGGGAGGCCTAGGGGGAGGGAACGTGTACATCTCCGTTGAACGTGATTGTTTAATCATCTGCTCTGCTACGCTTAAGTACGGCTCAGTAATGCGCTTAATCAAGTTGTACCTTTGGGATGAAAGTACCCTCTCGTTTTTCCCCAAATGACTCATTTAGCCCAACGTACAATGTTTAGAATCGAAAAGTTTGAAGAAGCTTCTGAATCGGGTTGCATAGGATTGAGTTTCATCAAGTGGAATGTGCACTTTCTGGTAACGGAGATTCCACTATTGTAGTAGCCAGTGTACCATCAGTTAACCTAACACTTCCCACTTAGAAATTGACACGTGGCTCAGTGGATTTCTTATAGTTGTTGCTTGTTGTTCACTTTTGCTCTTTAACTTTGTTTTGTTTGGAGTGGAGGTGACATGGGAGTAACTGGCTACAGAAGCACTGGATTGTTGCTTTGTGAATCTCTGACACTAAAATTTGGGGTTTTTCTACGGTACCCCTAAACAGTTTGAAATTTAGCTGTACCCCTTTTTTGGCCCCTACAGAATGAGAATTGGCACTGTGTGTATTCTTTCATTTGTCTTATGAATCTGATCTTTCAAATTTTCTTTTCTTACAAGAAAAGCAAACAAGAGTAAAGACATAGAAAAGGAAACAAACTTCTGACAATGGAAAAGTTGGAAAACTTCCTTTCCATTGTCATTGCATGTTCCCAAAGGATAAGGAAAAACTTGTGCCAGCCAACATAGAATAAGCTAAGCATATATATAATTGAGTTTGGTAATGAAAGGAAACTTGGAAATCTCCAAAAGCATGTATTATAATAATTATACATCTACAAAATTACAAAGAAACAGAAAGTTTTATATATCATACAATATCCAAACTAGTATGTATCCTCTGTATCAAGTGACAGCAGATTTATTGTATTAACTAAGCTAATTGTGAAGCTGATTGGGTCCTTCATAGACAACACGATGCGAAACTGCGTGGATTACGTTGATCTTGTTCTTCCTCATGGACTCGATGGAGCTTCGAAACATTGGAGCATACCTTCTGCTGTGTATTAATCTTTGTTCTGTATCTCCATTAGAAGCTTGATTAGTACTAATAATACTAATAGATCGACCACAACTGCAACTTTGAATTATTCCCAAGAAGAGAATGAAAATAAGAATTGGGATTATACCCTTTTGAGCTTGCATGATTTGTAAGATGAGATTATTATGAGCTATAAAACAAGGCAATTGTATATATAGAAGAAGAGCAGAGGAAGTGGTATGTGTTTGTAACTTTGTGGTGTTGGCGTTTGTCAACGAGTACTTGAAAACCTTTTAATAAAGGAGCTGGCTGGCTTTTGCCTGCAGGCTGCCTGCAGTGGCCAAAATATTCCTGAACCATAATTAAAAA